CAGGGCGGATACATTGAGTAAAATGTCTCAGAAAAGATCCCTTAACCCAGCTATAAAGCAGTCTATTTATGTTTTTTCATATTTTCTGTAATAAACAACTTTTTCGAGAAAAAAATTTTTGTCCGGATTTAAGTGGCGGACCCTGTATACTTAATTTTACAATAAAACTGCTTTTTGAACATTGCAGTTAGAAAAACTATATATAGAAAATGCAATTTATTGATAAGATGTTGTTAGCATATTTGTATGTACTACGTTTTTATTTTTTTTTAAATCTATCATATTGGGCCTCTATATTAGCTAGTAGGACGTTTTTTTGACTGCAAAAAACAGTCAAATTTAGTAAGCAGAAATCATTATTTTAACTTTTTCTATTGTGATGTAATTATGACATCAAAATAATATCATTTTGATTGTGATGTGTTCCTTAGGCAAGTTGGATATACAGGCTTACAAATCTGCTTAGTTTGTTTGTTGTTTTAATTATAAAAGTTATAAAGATTATAATTAAATTAGTTGCAAAAAATCTTATACCTCAATCAATAAATGTAGTTTCATATATTGTCCAGTAATTTCTTTTAGTATTGTCGACGTACCACCAATCAGCGAATTCAGACAAACTAGATCCTCCTGCAAAAACAAATAATTTTGTTAAATTCATTAATAAAATTTTATAGTTTTATGAAATTTCACTAATATTCTTTCTTCAAGTTCTTCAAAAAATAAACATTGACTTTTATTTACATTATTTGACTAGATTTATGTCAAACGTGAACAATTAAAAAAATTGAAATACCCTGACTATAAATTCTGCTTGAACAATAGCAGCAGTCACATTGAGCACAATACCACCTCGTGCGTTTTTACCCATTTCGGGCTTTAGTTCCCAACTTTGAAAAGGAATATTAATAAACTTAAAAGCAGCGAGGCCATGGGCACCTAGTCTGCCCGATCTAAAGGTAATAGTTTGCTTTTCCTCATTATATTTAATGTCATGTACGTCTTGTGTAGACCATATCTTTCTCTCGGAAATCCAGTGTGCCACCAGTGGTGGTTCAAACCAAATAATGAAGCTGGGAAGTCTGTAAAAATCGAGAATAGAATTTAATTGTACGCATATATAGAGCTGTATACAATCTGGAAAAAAAGTCCTTCATATATGAGCAAAGTCGATATTTAATTATATATGTATAATTATATATACAATTATATATTATGAGATTGTTTTACATTCTCATATGTATAATTGCATATAATAATTATTATATAGTTATATATATATTTCTAATCAAGTTTGTCCATATATGCAAAACTTTTTTGAAAAATAAGAGATGAACGTATTCGAGCTTTCGATTTTAAAAAGCCTTGATCAATTATCAAATTGATTTCTATTTAATATAAAAGAAAACTGTAATTCCCCGTGTTAATTAAATTAGTAAAATGCGTAACTTCTTGCATTATAAATTACTCACTTTAAAGTTACTAGAACTAGTTCTTCCATTGCGGCTTCTAGAGCTTTCATTTCTGCTTCGATTATTTCCGGTGTTCTCTCATTATCAGGCGCTGGTGGTGGCGCTTTATACGGTCGGTGAAACGGAACAAATTCCATTTTTTTCGGAATTTGCACTGCGAAGAAGATAACGCATTTAAAAACATACAAGTATTTGGAATTACGTAAAATAATTATATAATTTACACGTGGTGAGCAGAATATTTCTTTTCAGATCTTTTGGTTGTGGTGGTTGGTAAATTAAATCGATATATAATACACCGCCGAGTATTCTATATTTTCGCAAATTTATCTCCGTCTTCTCGCATCGCGTGAACAACAGCTTTCTGATTTCCTTTCGAGCTTCGTCTAAAACAAAAAAACAAAAAAAACCACAATAGAACAAATTCAATAACAAAACCTCAATACTAATACTAAACACAATATAAGACTAATATTGACAGCAATATTAATTCTATTGCAGCATTCTATTAATCCTATGTGTAACAATATTTGAATAACGCGATTGTACCCTCTCTTTGTATAATAAGTTCTTCCGGTGTAGGCAAATACGGTAACGGTTCCGGCTCCTGTTCTGGACGCTTCAATTGAACTTTCTGTTGCTGCCTTCCTCTTCTTTCATGTTTTGCAAGCACCAGAGGAGGCGGATTTTCTATTCTCTCAAGCGCGGCTTTCTTTTCCTCTAATCTCAGACGACGACCCTCAATCTGTTCTTCACGTATCTTCAATTTCGTTTTGTATTCGTTTTGACAATAGGTAAAAAAATCTAAAGCGCGCAATCACAAGAAAAGCTAAATGTTTTATACATGCTTTTTGAGAAAAATAGAATTATATCAACATATTTGTACAGATTTTAAAGCCATACAGTTTTATACTTTTGATGATATATTTTGATTGTAGATATCAAAATAATTTTGCAGTTTCTTCCAATCTAAGTAACTAAGTAAGTAACTAAGTAAGTAAGTTGATGATATATTTTGATTGTAGATATCAAAATAATTTTGCAGTTTCTTCCAATCTAAGTAACTAAGTAAGTAACTAAGTAAGTAAGTTGATGATATATTTTGATTGTAGATATCAAAATAATTTTGCAGTTTCTTCCAATCTAAGTAACTAAGTATCTAAGTAACTACTCAATTGTAGTAGAATTTATCAAGAAATTTGGTATCACCTGTTGTGTACATGCCTTCATATTCGTCCGGTAGTTTTGGCATGAAGTACGAAAATGAGCAATCGGAATGATGATCATATTTTACCCACAACACGCGAATTGCCATACAATAACAATCAATATCTACAGGCATCTTGACAGTTAAATCTATTTCCGTAAAGTGTACCTCAACTGGTTTTCTGTCGAGACAAGAAAATACATCACAATAATACACACAAGAGAATCCGACATAATAATAGTTCAACTATTATATGCGGCATGTCTCGGCAAATCTTGAAAATTACATAAAATATCGATACATACCGATCCTTATCAGTGATCTGTTTGAGTGCAATAGGCATTTTTATTAAAACCCAAATGAAACATTTAATTTGATTAGAAACATTTGTATATCTCGCTGTTTTTATGCTTTCGTGAACCATATCTCTGTCTATTTGGCGTAAGAGCGAATAACACGCTGCGTCTATCCATTCACGGAGCTTGTCGCGAAATCGTTGTTTGATCTGTTAAATACTCGCGAATCGTGTTGAGTGTTTTACATACACAACAACATCACGTATGTGACAAGTCAATCAAATACAATTACGTACCGCCTTACATTCGTCAATGTATGCAAACGGTGTCGTTATAGAGAAATTTATTATTTCTTCGAGTTTTGTTAATAGCTGTTAAGACAAATTTAACTGTTACTTTGACATGCACGCTTGATAAGAAAATCAACATTTATAAATTATCACCTTTCAATTATTTTTATTTACTATGTATTCAAACGCCTGATTTGAATATATTCAGAGATTATTTGAAGGAGATTATTTAAAGGACTTACGTACATTGCTAACAATATCGTATTTCGTTGCAATATTATTTATATTAATCTCTTCGTTTTCCATCGACCACAAAAATAAGAAAGTATTCATTTTGGATAAACTACCGGGGTCTGGCAATCCGTCACAAATCATGTATCTAATCCACTAAGAAGATATAAATTATGATATATAAAATATTATGTTAAAACTGTGTGTACTTATATGTTTTTTTATTTACATTTTCTTCGCCTTCGGTGTCAACTACATACTCCATAAACGCACTTTTATAATTATGAAGTAAATTCCACGTCTCTTTTAATTGAACGTCGCGCATCGCTGCTTCCTGATCCTCAAGCACAATTTGTTTCTCTGTATTATACTTCTCTAACCGAATCTCTTCTTGCATATCTTTGATCATCTGCAATCTATTTTTAAACATGTTTTATTATTATAAAAATAAAGAGAGAGCTTCCAGAAGATTGATATAAAATACGTGTAATTATTTTTACGCATGCAGAAGTATTTAGATTTAAACGTTGTCAAATTATCTTAAGAAATTTTCTTAAGAAGTTTGAGGACTTGCGTAATTAATTTTTCTTACTAAATATCAACATACATTTGAGGTTCATTGTCTTTTGACTAATTGTAAATAGATTTATTCACCTTATTTCTTCGGCTTCAGCGGCCGCAGACGCCGCTTCCTGTTTCTCTTCTGCTGTGCGTGCGTATCTCGTCATGACTGCAGCTTCTTGAAACTTTGACTAAATCAATTGAACGCGATGTAATAATACTTTACTATAATAAAATTACTATGTGAGAAAGCAGCTAATACCTGCAAGATACGACGTGTTTTAGCTAAAATATTGTGCAAAATCACGACATTTTTTAATATTGTAAAAGATTTAAAAAATAAATATATTTTCACTATTTTTCAGGATAACGTTTAAGCGTATATCATATACAACACTTCAGAAAAATTACCTGTGCTGCATTCCATTTGCGTAGCTGAAAAATATTATTGAACACTGAAATTACTCTGTTAGTTTTATTCTCTTCATCACGTAATTATATTAAAATTGTATCTATGTAAATTGATTTTTTCCTTCTTTTCTACTAAATAAACGATGGATAATAGCACAACATACCAATAGTTTTAAACGTGAAGGTTTTAATGTTCTCAAGATGTGTATATCTTCTTCGTATTCATCATATTCAGTAGATTCATCAAGATCCAAATTAGAACTTCTATCTTCGAAAAACAATTTCGAAATTGTTGCTTTTTTGCTTTGTTTCTTTTCTTTTGCCTCAGTTGTTTTGCTAATTACTTCTTTTAGATTTCCATCTCTCGGAACAGAATCTTCTCTATAAAGGGAGCAAAGTTATTGACAAAAAGTTATTTAACATGTGTATACAAAAGTATATATTATGTTAATTTAAACCGGTTAAAAAAACAAGATTTATTTTACTTCTGTTTATATTTACAATTAATAAATATCTTATTCTCTATACCCTTACACAAATTTATTATTAGTGTGGCCAAAATAATACAATACTTATTTTGAGTAATTCAGCAGTGATTTTTATATTTAAAATTACTGATGAACAATGTTTTAATTACTTAAAATAAGTATTATTTTGGCTACTCCAGTAATACGTTTCTATAAGGGTATAACATATATATAGGTTATATTGTATGATTTGGGGATCGTACTTTACACGCTTGAATTTTTCGTGCGTTCTTTTTTCAATTTCTTCTTCAAATTTCATATTAAACATTTTTTCCTTGTACTTAATTATCGAGGCTTTACTTATAAAAAATATTGTTATAAGAAAGAAAATGTAAATTAAATCTATGCAATAATAACGCGTGCCAGCTGTGTAAAGATAACAACTATCATGTATATCAGGAAATAACATACACATAAATTATTATATCAGATTTTAATTACATTGATAAATTTTAAAAGAAAAGTTAAGCAAAAAATGTCAAAGAGACATATAGCGATGTAAATGCTTTATAGCATGAAGGCTGCCGTTCTGATATTTACTGTTAGTACTAGAAATTTATATAAATGTATATAGTTGAAGTTTGGAACGTTCTTCGAACAATATTGTGAAGGCCGATTTGCCTCATTCCAATTTTTGTTTATGGCGGTTATAAAATGTTAGAAGTAAAATGTAAATGATATAGATCGATTACAGCTCCCCGAAAACAGCCCTTTGATCACTTGTACCATTTTTTATGACAATAGAGTTACCTCTTATTTCTTATTGCGTGAGCATCATTTACAAAATGAAAGAAACACAATAAATAAAAAAACACACTTAGACCTTTCGGCGACCACCGGAACCGCCATAACACATTCCACTTACAAGGAAAGTGACGCAAGTGTCCCTCTTCGATTTTAATAAGCTTCGAATATGTTGTAAACATTACAACATGTAAGCTGTTGTATAGCTAAAAATAAGAGACTCGTATTTTTTTATGTACTTTCTTGTACGTTTAGGGGATGATACCCTTTTGACAAGAAACGGTTTTTTTTCTTTTTATGCGGATGTTGTCAAAACGATAAGAGATATAAAAAAATGTTTCAAATAAATGTTAAATGGTCTTTTCTAGACTTTATAATCGCGTAGGTGAATGATTTTTTAATTCAACATTCTTTTATTTACCCTCACTTATTATTATTTTTTTTACAAATTTCAAAATTTTTGTAAAGAAATATTGTAGCATGTGTTACGCTGAATTCAATCCTACACAATTTTATTATACTTCAAAATCGCATCATTCAGAAATAAGCCGTCAATATTGCACTATGTACAGTCGCGGTCACTGAATCGTTTCATGGACGCGGGGGGCTAGGAGTAAGAGGGACGGTATTCCCTAGCGGCAAGTAGCGCCAACAGGCGTCGTCCTAACTGTAGCAATCATCTGATCCACAACTGCGTCGTATCGATAATGTCAATGCTTTCCTTGACTATTTGTGTCTCAAAACGTAAAACTATTGACCTGTTTCACAAATGCATATATATATATACAGGGTCCGCCACTTAAATCCGGACAAAAATTTTTTTCTCGAAAAAGTTGTTTATTACAGAAAATATGAAAAAACATAAATAGACTGCTTTATAGCTGGGTTAAGGGATCTTTTCTGAGACATTTTACTCAATGTATCCGCCCTG